CAAGCCAGACTGATGGGACAGCATAATCCCTCACTTTATAGATTCAGAAGTGTTGGTTCAGTCAGCAAATGCCCACAGCAGGTGGAGGGACATGAATTGACTGAGGAAAGATCTCACCACAATACTCACATCTTCCTCTTCATCCAAATCACATTTGCTTCCTGGACAATTCTCTCACATAAGAAATGGATTTTCTTACAAAAAGCTTGAATCATCAGAATTATTTCTCAGATTCTGGAACCTTGAAAGATTTACTTCTTTCTCTTCTGATTACCTCTCAGCTGCATGGTGGATCTGTCTCTGGTTGCCCCAACCCTCAAAGACCAGAATCCCAATGACTATGATGATCATGACAGCCATCCCCATCCTGATGAGATTCTCCACTGTGTGATCCTGGTTCTCTGAGGCTGTGGTTGTGGACAAAGAAGTTACAGGGGTTAGGAACAGTCAAAATATCCTCAAGATAACTAAATGCCCCCAAGATTACTAAATGTTCCCAATATAACTAAATATCTAACCAGAGATCATGCCTTCCCTGGATGGAGCTTGGTCCCTCTTTTTTCAGTGGTATGATTTTGAATTCTCTTTATTCAAATGTCCTGAGTTTCGGCATGTTCTAGGATGAGCTGAGAGTCTCAAATGATACCAAGAACAAAATAGGAGGAAGAGGATGTGCGCATGCTTAGGAGACCTGAGTGTTTCACTTTCTCATTTACTGTAAATACCCTTCATTCTCATTCTATTAGCTCAGAGAGATCTGTGATGGTTCTTTCCCCTGGCATAGCTGGTTCCCTCCCCTATTCTTGCTAGTTTTTTTTTAGCACCATTGTTCAAACACCAGTGAAAATATCAATTTGGAGTAGAATAAATTATTAAAACATTATTGGCCTTGATCCTAAGTCACTGTACTAAACAGCCACAGACCATTCTGAGTGTGGTGTCTGTATGTCTGGTGAACTCAGCAGAGGTTGAATGGACTCACATCCTCAGTCTGAGATGATTTCCTAAAGGGGTGTTTTTGCCGAGTGTTTGTTCCATTGTCACACGCAGACACCTCTATCTCTCCTGTGATCTGAGCATTCCCCTGATACATTCTGAGTATCCAGGGACCACGTAGGGTTTCTTGAGGAGAAATTACCATATAGAATCAGAGTTGAGATATAGTTTCTGCCAATGTTGAGAACCTGTCTACTGTTGCTAAACTTTCCCACATGTTCTTTGCCACATCAGACCAAGACATTTCTCTCTGTCCAGTTCAGGTAAGAGCACATCGTTCTGATGTAGATTGTCCTACATCTCTTTTCTCTCACATACCATGTGAGAAATGCAGGAGCAAGGTGTGGGGCAGAGTCATGCAGAGTGTTCTGCAGGCCTGGCTCTCAAACGAAGCTGTGAAGTGACTCTGTGTGTGTATTTGTGTGTGCATAG